AGTATTAAAATTGTTCATTAAATTGAAACAGGCGCGTTCGTTTAAGTGAGTGCAAAAGACTATGAATAAGTTGGGGTACTAAAGTCGTTCATTAAGCTAAAACAGGTGATTCCGCCCCGGGCGTTTATGTTCGCGTTAGTGTTTTCTTTGTGTTTAGGTGGGTTTGCGTTAGTGGTTGCGTTGTGATTTGGTTCGTTTTTGTTCTTTCTTTTTTCGTTTTTGTTTGTGTTTTTTTGTTTGGGTTTGTATTTGTGTTTCTGGTTGGTTTTGCGTTTGGATTTGGTTTGTTTTTGTTTGCTTTTTCGTTGTTTTTTTTGGTTGGTATTGGTGTTTGTGGTTGGGTTTGTTGTTAGGTTTTTGTTTTCGTTTGTATTTGTAATTGTGTTAGCGTTATGTTTGCGTTTTGTTGTTTTGGTTGGTTGTGGTTTGGGTGGGCAATGCCGGGTTTATGATGATTACTAAACACACAGGTAATGGTCTTTAACAGAAAGGTTTTTCACAGAAGCCAGAGCAGGGCCTGGCCGGGACGGCTAGTATATATATATATATATATATATATATATATATATATATATATATATATATATATATATATATATATATATATATATATATATATATATATATATATATATATGCGTGTCTGTCTGTGTGTAATTTATTGGTTTTAAGAGATAGAGAAAGTATTTTGCTGTCTTCATGGCATATATTTATCCCCCCCCCCCCCCCCCCCCCCCCGGTGAAAATCGACGACAAACTAAATATTATCTAACTGATATTCTACATAGTCTAATCATTAGAAATAAGAGCCTCGGTTAGTGTGTATAAAATTCGCAGGTGTGAAACCAAAACAGTAACACGTTTAATATGACGTCAGCTTCGACAGAGTACAACACCATCATCAGCATAGGCTGAACTGTGAGATTAAATTATCTCGAGAATATTAAAAATTGTTCTGGTGAAATTCCAGTGATTCCTCTAGCGATCCTAACATGAGCCTGTATCTACATACAGACCAACGGAAGTGTGTAACCACACACACGTGTTTTACGTCCACCTGGCGCGCGTGTGTGTGTGAGTGAGCACAGAGTAAGGTAAGATGCATGCTGTGAGCACCCGCTACTCGCGGTGTTCTGTAACAGGAGGTGGGTTTTCGTTTTAATGTAAACTGATAGAGAGAAAGTGAGTGATGGTGTTAACATAGGGGTGGGGGTGTTATTTAAAGTAAACTGATAGAGAGAGAGAGAGAGAGAAAGTGAGTGATGGTGTTAACATAGGGGTGGGGGTGTTATTTAAAGTAAACTGATAGAGAGAGAGAGAGAGAGAAAGTGAGTGATGGTGTTAAAATTGGAGGGTAGTGCTACTTAAAGAGGATGTAGACTAGGTCGGTAGGGGGTTTGAGTGATCTAAATATCTCTGTTTGAATGTATGTTTTAAGGGCAATGTTCTTTCTAGCATCTCTATATACGGGTGTGTAGGGGTTGGGTGTGGGGGGGGGGGGGGTGAGGTGTAAGACGGTACTGCTACACCTCTACGTGGACACAATTTAAAAGAATACAATTTTTATAGACTTAATAAATACTTTAACCAGATTGCGCAGCCCACCCCCCCCCCCCCTACTAGGAAGTTATTCCCCCCCCCCCTTTCGTGAGGAGGGCACTTCAGAAAAAATCTCTGAAAGAAACAATAATAGAGAGATGTGGTTGAACTACTGATTACTGGAGGGAGGGAGTAGATTAGGACTAGGATTACTTCAGTAGGATAGAGAGAAGAGGGGAGGGAATCGGAGTAATCTATCGCAAGTAGATTAGGTCTAGGATTACTCCAGTACAATTTAGCTGATGTATGCAGAAATCCTAAAATAGCCAATCATTAAAGAAACGTCCCAGGTCCACTGTGTAGTTTTTTTTTTCTTAAAGGTTGAGCTACTTGTGTCGGAAAGTCGTGTTCCTATTATGAGACGTATTGATTAATCACGATATTCATAATAATTTCATTTGAAATATTAATTAGTCAATTCTTCATAACTGACCTATTTTATTTTATCTTATACTTTAGTAGTAACACACAAATGTGTATTAAATTATATTCTTTTCTATTTTGAAGTTCTGTTTTTAAAAGCAGCCTATCCAAGGCCCTACATTGAAATGATACAATTTGTATCCCTAGTTGGTAAAGTTACCAGGCCTTACGTCACCAAATGATGACGTCATAAACTCGCAGCACGAGAAGCAGCGTTCGGAAACCAACCAGATACTCTATCCCCCGACCACTCGCCCAGCCCTCATTAAGAAAATAAGAAAACCACCCTATGCAGATACCCGCGGGGGTCATCTCGAAATTGCGTCACACTCCTAAAGGGAAAGAGGGGTTCGTTATTTTCCGATTTCGGACGATATGTTATGAGCGTTGGGGGTGGGGGGGGGGGGGGGAGGTTCAGATAATGTGACGTAGCACTTTTGCAGTTTTTAAAAAGTGAAATGAGAAACTGAATTTCAGCCATCATTTCGCGTTATAGAGAAATAAAAGTGAATTACAATAGAAATTAATATGCTCTATGTTGACCGAGCTAAGTGTAAAACAAGGTAATTAAAAAGTCTTGTGACAATTTAAGCGCAATTTCCTTATGTTATCTAAAAATAGCTCTGTCGTAGCGTAAATCAAGAGCAGGGTTAGTAAAACCATTGGTTAGTTATTAAAACGTTTTTTATTAATTTTTTTTCAGTATTTTACATGTTTTATTTACAATGAGAGTTACATGACTAAAAACCATTGCGCGCCTAGCTACTGAACGTGATGACGCAGCCATTGAACGTGATGGCGCAGCTATTGAACGTGATGACGCGTGTGGTGTGGTTGGAAAAAATGCCTACTAATTCGGTCCAAATTTTAATTAATTAAAAAAATTTTTTGTGACTGAACGAAAGGATATTTTTGAAAACTTTCTTCTGCAATATTGTTCTAAATTATGGCAGGAATCGATTGGTACATGTTTCAAGTCGCTAAGTGGTCTGGTTGCCGAGATATGGGCCAAAAACTGCTATTTTTCGAGGTTTTTTGGCTTTTCCGGGAAATCCATGAAAGAAACCCGGAATTTTTATGGCCTATGTTCATTCTCGTAACTTGCTTAACATAATTGCTTTTGGAACTAGTCATCGATATTGCTTCGTTGAGGAGGAGATACGACTTAAAGCCCGGACACACATTCACCCATACATTCATTCATTCATTCATTCATCCATTTATTCCCAGAAATGACGAGTTAATAAACGCAATTCTCCAGAATGAAATTGCGCTAAAAAGTTCAAAGTAGGGATAATGGTTTCTTAAGCGAATTGTCTATAATCACAAATATATGCAACTTGTATTCATCTAGGGAATAATACACACATATTCATCTGAAATAAAACCGTATAATTATGAAATATGAATATATAGATTATACAACAGGCAAATCAAAAATATCAGGATAGTGAAAGAGAAAATCAGAAGCAGCTTAGCACAAGCCATGTTTCAAACCAATGCATTATATGAAGCATTGCCTCCCCTGCTAGACAGAGGTAATTCGTAAAACATTATGTTGGTACGGTACAATTTGTGCAAATTTCATAGGCAAGCAAAAACAGTGAGGTATAACGTTGCCAATGCTATGACTATTCCTGTGTCTATTCTAATTATAAATATTTTATTTTAAAATATTTGTATAAGCCAATATCAAAGAACATAAAATACATAAGTTAACAAAGTTTGGGAAAATGACTGTTTTGTTAAGAAACACATTTATGTTTCATTTACGTCACTTCCTGTTCAAAATATGCAGAAACTGGGAATGATAAAATTAATGAATTATGTAGGATGGATAGATCAGCTTTGAGGTTTCTGGGGAAGAAAAATATATGCTTTAGCAGCTAAATTAGCTTATTAAAAATTGTACGCAGGTTGCTGAACTATATGAATGTTGCAAAGATGAAGGCTATGGTAGCTACACCTGAAGCTTTAAAAAAAAAACGTTAGAAAACATCTTTAGGAACCCAAGATTCACTCTCACACAAACCAAGCAATAAAAAAACTATAGGTTGGGAGAAAATGTAAAGAAAGATGGCGACCACTTGCGTCTGCTTATAAATATAATGAAGTTGGTGCCAGAAAAGGATAGAATAATAAATGCTACTTAAAATATTCATTAAAAGCCTATTGTAAGCCTATTTTATTATATTCTGTACTTGTAGTAGTAAAAAAAAATACAGAGAGTAGCTTTAACTGAATCACATATTTTAAAATAAATGCAGTTAAGTTACAAAAAAAAGTCAAAACACGAAGTTAGAACACCCATTCTTTTTGACGAAATAAAATATTAAAAATTTCCTTGTTAGAAGGGAAGTAACTTGGTAGGTGATGTTAAAAATAGATTTTAAAAAAAAACACGGCTGTCTAGATCTACCTGTTAATAACAACAGAAGGGTAACAAATATTCCAGAATAGTTTTTAATTTTAACCCAACCTAATAAAAACAAAAGACTATTATTAGAGTTAGAATAGCCCTACGCCTAGCTGGAAAAGTAACTGCTAATACCAATTCGTTTAACAAAATAAACTAAATGAAGACAGGTAATTGTAAAATATCTGACAATACCAAAATTTTAGGTAAAAAAAAAATAGAATCACTGTCTGACAATCAGAAAAACCAGCACCTCTATAAATGATTCCTAAGTAGGCCTAATTTTCAATCAAAACTTGATTACTAATTAGACAAGCCACACTCTCATTATACATGATGTTCCGTTGCTGAATGAAAGATAGATCACTCACAATCATACATGCACTTGACTGAAGAACTCACTAATGCAAAACATACATACATATTGCGATTACTTGTCAGCATTTGTATTTTTAAAAAAAACAGTTGTTATATATGAGTAGAAAACATGTGAATAACCCAAGCCATGCGAGAACTGAGCATCATCTAAACATGACTGAAAAAATGACTACACAGGTATATTTCAAATGGCTAATGTTATTGTGTGTACCATGCTGGGCAACTCACCTATGTCTTCTGTATCTGAAAGCATAGCAGCATTGATTGGTTGGTTTGGAGAGCAGACACACAAGTCACTTGGTATTGTTTTGTTTGGAAAATGATTGTTTTGTTTTGGAAGTTGTTTTATTTGGAAAAATGTTTGTTTTATTGGAAAAATAAATGTTTTGTTTGGGAAAATAATTGTTTTGTTTGGAAAAATTGATTGTTTTGTTTGGAAAAAAATGATTGTTTTTGCTTGGAAAAATAATTTTGTTTGGAAAAATGGTTGTTTTGTTTGGAAAAATAAAAAAAATTTTTGGAAAAAAAAGATTTTTTCCTCCAGGGAAATGATTGTTTTGCTTGGGAAAAATATTTTTTTGCTTGGAAAAATTATTGTTTTGTATGGGAAAGCAATTGTTTTGTTTGGGAAATTATTGTTTATTTTTGTTTGTAAAAAAGATTGTTTTGTTTGAAAAATATGATTTTAAAAAACAAAAACAAAAAAGGATTGTATCATTTGGAAAAATAATTCTTTTGCTTGGCAAAACAAATATTTTTTTGCTTGGAAAATGATTGTTTAGTTTGGAAAAATCATTGTTTTGTTGAAAATTCACAGATGGACATTGCTCATTTCGCTTAACCTGACTAGTAGTGCTAAACCTAACCCTTGGTGTATCTTAATAAAGTATGTAAACACTTTTATGCTTGATGATCAAGAGAGCAGATAGAGTTATTAGTTTTCTTGACCTTAGTAAAGTGTGGTCAGCACAATGCCCAGCCAAATTTTACATTTCTTAAAACAGCTTAACAGTCAATCACACCATGCCTCTTCAATGCTGTCCACTATAGTAGCTGAAGTAGAGTTCACCTGTATCTCAGCTTTGTGCCCAACCAGCTTTACTTCACCCAACTTTGGTCGGGTACCCATTAAAGCTGAATAAACTGTAAACATCTCATGTGCACAACCCCAGAAACCAAATATGATATTCTAGGTTAGTACTTATATGCACGACCATGCTGTCCATTATCACAGTCCTATCTCTATCTTAAAACTCCAGCCCCAGCCTGATATTTGACAACAAGCTATAGATTATCAATGGGACTGCGTGGACTAGTGGTGGAGCGCTAGATTGCTAACCTGATAGTTTTGAGTTTAAATCCGTTCCTGAGTTCTACCAACTCTGATGGGTACCTAACTAACATTAGGGAAAGTAAAGGCTGCTGGGCATAGTGCTGACCACATTATCCCTTTAAATGCCGAGGTCAAGAAACATATGAGCTCCATTTCATCTGCCCAATGGATCGTTAGGTCTAAAGAGGAATCTTTACTTTTTTTATATAGATTATCAGCAAAGTCCATCTGATACACCCATGACAGAAAAAATTAAAACCATTTTTAACATAAATTATCAATTTGGCAGATTTAGAAAAAATATTTTGGCTAATTTTACAGATAAACTGTTGTGTTATTTCCATCAAAGTAAATATAAAAATGCATTATTATGCCAAAGAATCACATGGCAACAGATTTTAAACTGGTACAAAGAAGAGTAAAAAGCAATCTTTAAAATAGAAAGCTGGGATTCTGTATGAGGGTAATGGGGAAATTTCCATGCAAGAAAACATTTACAAGCCTAAAGTCAGAGTGGTTAATTTTGGAGGAGTCTAAAATTTTCTATTTAATTATTTTAATCACTTGATAGAGAGATTATTAACTAAAAATATTTTTTTTAAATAGCATGTGTTCTTTTTATACTTTTAAATTAATGTTTGAAAAAGATATTTTTTTATTTTTCCTGGCAATTTTTTGGAATTATCAGGCAATATTGTCGGTTTTATCTGGCAATATTGTATTTTTTACATGAAAAACAGCTTGATTATTATGTTATAAATATGAAAGTAATAAGGAAAGTTTAAAATTTCTGACAACTTACTGCCATGAATGGTTACTCTTTGGTAATCCCCATCTATGTCAATTACCGGCCGCTCGTCCACAACAATAGGACGTTGAGTTGCCACAACAATATTTAGGTAAGGATCCTCAGGTACATAGTCCCTGTAGGCTGTCCATAACTCAATACTATCCACTTTGGTACTGGCATGAGTCTTGCCACCCTGGAGACAAGTAAAAATTTTAAGAAAGATTCTGATTAGCTCAAACAGATAAAATTTATGTATTACAATATTTTATTTTCTATTTTTAGTCAAAACATTAAAATCTCTTAAGTGAGAAATTATTTTTTGTCTATCTAGACCGCAACAGAATACGTAGCAATGTAATTATGTTGTTTATACTATCTGATCTACAATTAGCCCTGATCAGCTTAGAATTTAAAAAATAAATAAATATCTTTATGAATAACAAGTTTCACTTTTTAGGTGTTTTAAAATTGTATATATAGCTACTATAGTTGTTTTAAATAGTGAAAAAAGTTACAATTTTGTCATTGACAAATTACATTATAGCCATAGTAGAGGGTTTAATGAACAAAATAAAATTACAACCTGCAATGAACGTCCGAATAAAGTCCTCCAGTCGTTTGTTTGTTGCACGGACTGCTCCGAGGGGTAAGTTTCATAATCCACCCTGCGTCCATCTATATACATGACCAGACCCTCTTTTGGATGCCAGGTTAACTCGACCTGAGGTCAAAAATTTATTTTTGTCACTACAAGACTAATCCATATTAACGGTCAGTGTTATACACATTCAACTAATTAGGATTCTCAGTGATAAATGTCATAGATATTTTTTTTAATAATGCCCAAAGTGTAAAAAGGCTGCTGTGCCTATAGTTGAAACCATTTTAAAATAAAATAAAAAAAATAATAATTATAATACAAAATAATAAAAAATGGTAAAAGGAAATTTGATTTTAAAATTTTTAAATTATCAGCAAAGTCTAGGCCTGCACTAACTTAAAATTTTTAAAACAGTAGTTAAAAACAGCATTATAAAGAATGGCTAAACCTCACTTCTTCTTCTTTGTTCTTAATTTTAGTATTGGAAGGTATCCCCCTCCATCACAATTAAGGATTACGTGCCAACTGGTTATGCGCCATAGAGGCCATTGACTCTGATTTCAGCCTGCCTTTCTTTTTGGATTTGCTTCCATAGCCTTTATGCAACCAAGAACAAACTACAAGGCAGCAGTTGTTTGATTTTGGAGTTGCCTCTCCTAGAAGAAAGGCTGTCCCCCAGCTAACGAGCCTCATCTGCCCGAGGGTTCGAACTCGAGATTTTTCTGTTTAGCAACCATGAGCTTTTACCAACTCAACGACGCTGACCTCTAAACCTCTTAAAAAAAATTTTTGTCACTGTTTAAGAATGTACTCACCCTCTGCCAGTAACCAGCCTTGAAATCAGCTGACTCCACATTCCAGACCTGGTTGCCAGTCTGGAACTGACCCCGCAGGCGGCCGTCTCTGTAGTACAGCTTGATGGGGAAGGAATCAAAGAAAACCATATCATTCCTCAAGGTCATGGGCTGTAGGCCAATCCTTAGGGTCACACCTTGACGACACTTGTATAGGTCACCTGGCGTAGAACAAATAAAATATATATTATATATAAATATATATTTTTAAGAAAGCCCATGCATTTTGATTCACAAAGAATAATATGATACTAATTATTACTTTGGACGGCATGTCCTAACGGTAGAGTACTAGACTGTAAACTGAAAGTCTTGAGTTGAAATCCAGGTTTAAGTCAGTGGAATGTCCCTGAGTCCACCCAGCTCTGATGGGTACCTAACTTATATTAGGGAAAGTAAAGGCACCTGGGCATAGTGCTAACCACATTTTCACTTGATTTTTGGTTGATTTTTTGTTCTATGATGATATTTGCAGATTATATTTGAACATTATATTTCTATCTAATTTTTCTGCAATTAAATGATCAATAAAGCAACAGAGATTAACTAAACCCAACACATGTAAGGTACTAAATAGTGCTGAGCTGGCTCTATCAAGAAGTTTAAGCTGTTTGATGTATCGTCAATGGTACGAACATTGTTTACAATTTATTTGGTGATTTATTCAAGGTTAGTATTAACGTTTGCTTAAGATTTGGAAGTTTACATTTCAAGCTTACTTGAGTCAGGTACTTATCAGGGCTGAGTGAACTCATATACATCATACAAACATGACCCCTGCATCTCAACAACTTTTGGATTTGTAAATAGTTACATTCTCTACGACTGGCCTTGCTGTTCCACATCTCTAATGAAATCAATAATCAGGTGCTCTTTACAACTGGTGGACTCAATGATGTACTACAGATTCAAGCCCAGGATTTGATCTCGAGACTTTCAGGTTAGCAGTTATCAGCTCTACCATTCAACCTCCAATGACACCTAAATTCTTACCTCCACATGTGAAATTGGATCCCAAATCCAGGTAAGAGTTAACACCTGGCAGGTATAAGCCTTTAGTGTTGTAACCTTTACCATCTGTCACCTCTATACCTCCGTACCCTCGGATATCTCGGTCACGGATACGGATAACATCATTTCTATAATCGTCAAAGACAATAGTCATGGGCACCACTTGAACTGTTGAAAGAGAGATGATAAAAGAATATCAGTTTAATTGTTTTTTTTAAAATGAAATATGTTACTATTACTACAATAAAACTGTTATTTTAACTATTTTCTTAATCTAATATAATTAAGAAATGTAAGATAATATTTTAATCTATTGGTATAAAATATAAACATTAAAACTTGATGTTTATGAAACAGAAACATTAAAACTTGATGTTTATGAAATAGAAATTTGATGTTTATGAAATAGAAACACTAAAATTTGAAATAAACATGGTTTATAGGAAGTTTTAAAAGAAATGGATTAAAAAATATAAAAACATTTTTTAATCAATTTAAAAAAAAAAGTGAATTGTAAAGTTTGATTCAAAGTTTTCTTTTGTTTTGGTTAAAGACACAAAATACTTGCAGTTATTGACAGTGTTTAACAAGCATTGTTAAAATACAAACAATAACATTTAGTTATTAACAATGATTTTTTAACTAGTTTTTATTTTTTATTTTACACAGGTGTTAACTAGGTAGGATTATGCCCCTTGAAATCAAAATTGTTAATTTCAAGGAATGAAAGAGTTAACTAATCTTTTGATCAATGGTGATGGTAGTGTAAGTTTAATAAGATGGTGACATTTCTTCTTACCTCTGTACTGACCAGTGACCCGTAACTGATCAAGGTCATCATACCACACCTGCAACTCATCAGCCAGCATGTTAGCCGTGTTCCTATCATCGTAAAGGTCACGACCTACATAAACATGCTCGGTGGGGGGCTCGTCCCTCTGTGGGGCGTCAGCGCCTATTTGGTCAGTGTCCACGGTCTCATCATTAATATACATGCTCAACCCTTTCTTCGGATGCCACGACAAAGTTAATCTCTGCCACTCATCTGGGCGAAGTCGCGTCGATGTTGTCGACCAATTTCTTCTCTTCCCCCGGAAATCCGAAATCAAACGCCCGTCTTTGTAATAAAGTTTATACGTTGGCGTTGAAAGAAAAGTGGTGCCGTCTCGAAGATCTCGTGGATTCAACCAAAACGACAGGGTTAGACCGTGGGTACAGAGGTCAAGGTTACCAAAACATTTCTGGTAGTGTGTTCCCAGGTCTATATACTGGCGCTGTCCGTTGAGCTGGACTGCATTGCCAAAGCGTCCACCCGTGACACGAGCGTCCCCAACAACGAGGACGGTGTACTTGGTGTGGGGGATCTGGCGCCCGTCGATCTTGTCGAAGGAGAAAGATTCGTAACCCAGGTTATCTGGGGAGGTTAAAGGTTACGAAGCAGGTTAAATTAAGTTAAACGGCAGATGCTGATTAAGCATGCAGGTTACATGACATGCAAATTTTACAGTAATGTTAAATAAAAATACCTGTGAAGAGTCATTTGTTTATATAAAAGTGGATTATAATTTTAAAAACCTCAAAAAAAAAATCAAGATGTAGATAAACGCATATAAAACTATAAGATATGGAAAAAAATTGTTGAAATTTCCAAAAAAATATAAAAGAGTTTGTAGTATTTATTTAAGAACATCATTTGCTGCAGGTACACATTTTTGTGTTCAGCAAATAACTACATCACTAGATGGTTCCTATAGTTATTTAATAAAAAGCTTAAAAAAATTAATTTAACATCAACATTCTAGCATCTTAATTTTCATTGAAATAACAGCAATCAAGTCCATAGTGGATACTTAAATCCACACAACATGCATGGATGAAAGATGGTACACATTAGTTTAGTTAGAAGAGAATGCAGGTGAAATAACAAATATACATGTAAGTTATTATCAGAAATATTTTCAGAAGATTAAAAATTGACCATACAGATAGCAAAAACTCATATACTTTAATTCCATACTCATTTCTTCAAATGTGTAACACGTTTGAAGTACATAACTTTTAATCAAATTATAATAATTGATAAAATTAGTATGGTTTATAACTTTTCTTATTTTTAATTTTCATTTAATGAGAATAATGCAGCAATAATGTATTGGAATGTGTTACATTTTTCAGTGTAATATTTACAGTTAGTCTTCCAGTCATGTCAATTCTATTTAACCATTTTAAAAGCTTGAGTCATATTTTATATCACATATTTTTCTGGAATATAAAATATACATGATTATATATTATTTTTATCAGTTTGTCATAATCATCATGTTAAATGTTAAAAACTTTCATACACTATTAAAATTTAACACAATACTGAGTAAAATTAACCTACATATTTAAAACAGGTACTTAAATTGAATGGAATATTTTCGTGTCATTAGCTGTAACAAAAATACTCCTTCAACAAATCCTGTAATACACATAATACTTCTACACATGCCACACTGTGAAATATAAAAATTTTGAGCATAGCCATTCTAACACAATTACCATCACATTTCAGCTAACATACTCTAACTATCAAACAACATGCAAACAAAAACAGTTAGTTTATTTCTTAAAAATATTAAGAGTTAAAATAACTAGACAGTTTTAGTAAACATATTGAACATGTTTCAAATTGTATAAATATTAGTTCCATATCATATTTTCATTTGTCTTAATTTTTTAATTTTTTATTTTGGAGTAAAATAAAATGATCTTATTTAGCTCCAAAGTAATGTTATAATAATATTGATACAATTTGGAATAAAGAAAAAAAAATGTAAGTATAAAATGTACTCACTTTTATCATCTAGAATTAGTAAAGAAAAAGATTGATAGAAAAATAAAACAAGACCATTAAATCACCTTATTAAGTTGACATATTTACTAACAAATTATTTTGTGAATAGTTTCATTAAGGGTAACAAAAAGAAACAATGAAAGAAAAGTTGGAATTTTGACTAAATGACAGAGGAGAGTTCTAAAACAGAGATACACATATTAGTTAGGATACATTACACTGTAGAAAGAAATAGTAGCATGCAACAAGAATTACATTTTAAAAACAACATGAATTTGAATACCTGTTCTTAATTTTATCTTACAGTTTTTCATACATAAAAAAACCATGCAACTTAATTGTTATATATTTTTTATATGTAACATACATCTGTTCCATTATATTGCATTTGATTAAGCTCTTGATCTAGTTTTTTTAACATAAAAAAAGATCAGTAAAAAAAATAATTATTAAAAAGTTTCACATTTAATTATTTAACAAAAATAGATTAATTTTTAATGTAAAATTTGTATTAATTGGAGATAGGCTTTGTTACAACAAATAATGATGATTTAGTTAGTATAAATACATTACAACAAAAATGGTTAATACTGGTTAAGGATGCTTTAGCTTTGTTTCATACCATCCTATGGTCAGAAGATAAAACAAATCCTTCTCTAGGTCTGCCAATAATAGAAAAATGTATCCTTGATTGTTACAAACATGCTGAAAGTTTAATGACATTCTCTTGGCTGTATAAACTATAGTCTGTATATCATGATCCTTGTTTTATTTTCGGTATGATCAAATCCATTTGCGCTACAATTCCTGTCTACTGTTTCTGTAGTAATTTTTCGTTTTGGTTTATGACGAGACCATGCAAAATACAACATGCCAGGGCACATTCAACATATGAAGCCAAATGAAAAGTAACAGGGATGATAAAAAATGAAATGAGCTTACGTGTATTAGAATAATTGTAATCATCTGATGAGCAACATTGATCAAACATAATTGAGTTCACTTATAAGATTCACATATAAATTACAGAATGTTAATAATACATTCATCATATCTGAGGTAGTTAATACCATCTAACTTAGGCCTGATTAGTTAAGCATATTGAATTGCATAAAAGTTTGACAATACTTAAGCAATAATGAAATATATATGTAACAACACTTTCAGAATAATCTATGCAATCCTGTTTTGATTTTTTTATGTATTTTCAATACCATATTAAAAAAAATATAAAGCATTTTTTAGAAATACATTAGCATAAATGAACAGATATGAAGATATGAATGAGATGATTCAGTAAAATGAAACAGAGTGGTTCATACATCTCACTCTAAAAGTAAAAGACAACACCTATAGAACTAAACTGAGACAAAAATTATAATCCAACTATATAGAACACTCAGAGACAAACTATTTTGGCAAGATGCCACTCAAAATAGTACAGGGATACTACACACGATAGCACTAAAACTAAAATAAATTGCAAATTTATATATATATATATATATAAATATAAAAGCTTTATTTTATTTTAAAATAGTATGCAAAATCTAACATAAAATACTTAACCTACAGTTAAAGAAAAATCTATTTTCTCAAACAATTGGTAAAATCGTTTCTTTTTTTTTGTTATCATTTTAAAAAACTGATGAAGCCTCAATTAAAAAATTAATAAATATATTTTTCTTTCTTTGAAATCAATGTAACTATTTACTGTTTTGGTTTTAGACTTACCTCTGTCAATATATCCAAAAGCCAGTAAGTCTTCTCTTTTCCCATACCAAATCTCCATTTCATCCACATCAAAGTTACCAGTGGAGTATCTGTTACCGTACACATCGCCCTGGTTAGGGTACCCAATGTAGAAGCTGCCACGCCCTGAGCGGCTTGGGTCCACATGATCTCTGGCTGACCCCTGGCGGAACTCATTGTCCACATACAGCTTCAGGCCTGTCTCAGGGTGCCAGGTGATCTCTACAAAGTACCAGCGGTCAGTTTCCAGTCTGGAAGAAAAATAGTTCCCATATTTTTTAAATTTAAATATAAACAAAAAAAAAGAACATCAAGGAATAGTCTTTACTGGAACTCTAGATGTAAGTTCCCCTTTTCCCTTTCTGAACTTGCCAGTACATGGGGTAAGTAAAGTAGAGCTCATCTGTTTCTATGATCTCGGGTATGACTGGTTAGCGAGATCACTACTATGCCAAGCTGTTTTTACTTTCCCTAACTTAAATTAGGTACCCATCAGAGCTGGGTAGATTCAGGGACGTTCTACTGACTTGAACTACAGCAGAGTTTGATCCAGGCATCTCTTCCGGGGGGCTATGTGTCCCCCCCCCCCCCCACGGAGAAAAAAGTCTGGAAGAAACGCTGAACTTTAGTCTCAACCTAAGATAATGAACTCATCATTTTTTGGGTTAGCAAATACACGTTCCATCATTAGTTAGATCATGCTGTCCCATACTTTGATGACCACAAGATTAGCATCAATACAATAGAGGATGCAAGGCATATTTCACCCAGACAATCCAACTATATGACTTTATTAGGGCAGTAAATGAGCTCTACTTCTACTCTGTATAGTACTCTTTTTGGAAAAAAAATGTGTATTTGCATTAAATTATTTCCCTTTAGCTTAATTATTGGCTGTAGTAAGTGCTACTAACCTTGGTATGGAAATAAGTCCTCTGCCATCAGCACTGACCTGGATGTACCCATCTTTGTACATCATTAGAATACCATTCTCACCAGTTGACAAAAACACCATGTTGTTTTCAAATCGTCGGAACCTAATTTTAGAAAAAAATGTATTCATAACATTAACAAAGAACATAGTTGATCTTTGCTTTGTTTTATTTGACTTTGTTAAACATCAATTTTACAAGTTCTTTTATCATATAATATTTTTTTTAAATATCTCAAAAGAATTTGTAAATTGTGTGTAATAACAGACCAAACACTAATAGTTTATTAAGTTAAATTGAAAGTAAAATTTCATAAATATTACGGTTAAAATACAATATTTAAAAAAAATTTTTTACCATAATATTTATGAAATTCTTTCAATTTAACTTAATAAACTGTTGGTGTTTGGTCTGTTATTACATTACTATTATGGATTGTGAAGAATAAAATCCAGTGTTTACTGAATCCTAGCAATAAAGTTATCCCCCATGAAATATTTTTGAATAAAAAAGATTCAATGAGACTGACCTCATCCATGCTGCCACAGTGAACCCTTGTGTACATGATGCCAGATTGCTCATACATTCACCTTCTCTACGACCTACGTCAGCGTACTGGCCACGCCCACTCAGTTGAAGGGCATTGTTTACCTGAGTAAAGTTAAACATTAGCTTTGATGAAATATAATCATAAGGTTAAATAACTGTTATAAAGATATTCAATGTCTAGGCATAGTTATGTAACTAATCAAATGGACCACTGCAATTTTTTTTTATTCAAAGAAAGTTCAATTGAACAATTTAATTAGAGCAGTGGTTCTTAACTTTTTTGGTATTGAACCCCACCAGTTTTATATGCAGATTTACCAAACTCTTCTTCATAATTCTACCATCCGCACTGACAAAATCTGATTGTGAATCGTATGATCTTGGCGGTTCTTAACCTCTATCAAACCCCTGAGCCGTTTAGGAATTTGATTTAAAACAAGGTTAAAAAAAAGAGGCTTAAAAACTATCAGTTTAGGAATAGATGTGAACTACCCAGTTAGAGAAATAAAAAAGGATATTGTGCTGTGCAAAGATTGGCTTACACAACCTTTGAACTTGTAGTTAGGTTATTGTGTCTATATTTGTCATGATGTAGCAACACAAAAGCAGTATAGTATGAGTTGGTACTACCTTGCCAGGTATTAGCACTGGTCTGCCAGATAATGTGATGGACAAATCTGAGTGCATCAAACGGTCCTCATCCAACAGTTCTTCAAACTCAATCAGGTAACTGTGGGGACGACCTAATGACAAAAGTAAATTATAAGCAACTGTTATATTTAAAAACCTTTATGTTATACATATATTTAAATAATCCCTTAAACATATTTTTACAATGTTCACTTCTTATATTATATTTTTTCTTTGTTTTCTCATTTGGTGGAGCTTTTAACTAAATAATGTTATAATTATTGTTTTAACTTTATTATATATAAAAATCTTAAAGTTTCTATAAATGTTTTTTCTCTCAAACTTTCACAGCATGATTGACAGATCTTAAAGACCTTGTGAAAATAAATGCTTAAAATCACAACAATTTATTTTATATCAAAGAATATATTTGCCATAAATGTATGCATTAAAATAAGTTTTAAGCATTCATATCATATCAGCATCTAAACTATTTAAACCAACACCATAATTTAAAATATGTATCCATACTTCGCTGGATATATCCATGTGATGTGAGAAAATCTCTGTCTGCCTGCCACATATCCATGTCATCATACGTAGCTTCAGCGTATCTGCCATCTCTCATATCTATGTTACCACGTCCAAGGTAAAATCTAAAGCATAAAAAACCTTAATTATTTTTTAAGAAACATTAATTACATATACTAAATTTGCTTTATTTTAGTGTAAAGTGATGCAGGTATTAAATCCATATAGTATATAATAAAAAACATTAACAAATCTATTTTAAACAAAAGCAGTCTCTGGGTGCTTTTAAACTGAAAATATATAGCACATGGGTAGATAACTGTTTAGTAAGAGTTATGAGCACGTGCTTGCTTTTCTTTTTCAACCACTATCACAAATATCTGTAGCAAATATAATGTCTTTTAAAGAATACGAGCCGACCCGCGGCGAATCATACACCGCTATTTAGTTGTTTTATTTTCTACTTTTCAGTGATTCATAATTTGAATGCTGCCACTGAAAATATTTGCTTTAAAACACTAAAACCCTCCTTCCCCCAACCCCTAGCCCCCCCCCCCCCCCCCGTGAAAGCAGCCTCCTCTTAGTTACCTCCCCTAAATCTTTTCAAACTAAATTATATGCCCCTAATAGCCGTCACTAAACCCGGCTCTATGATTGTAAACATTTAGCGTGAACCACAGCTCACCAGACCATGTAGGGGTGGGGTGGTAGTAAGGGAGCGTGCTTACAGCTTGGTGTTTTCTAGCATCTCCAAGAGGAGAATTATATATATATAGATAATCAGTGGTTTGGTATTATAGTAACCCTACCTGTCAGTATCATAGGAACCAGAAGGTGGGTCAGTTCTGGCACCAGCAGAAGAATCCTCAGATGTTAATTCATTGTTTATGTACAGACTCAGGCCGCGGAGAGGGTGGAAAGACACCTCAAGGAAGTGCCACTTGTTTTCACTTAGGTTTGTTGTGGTTACCTCCCATTTCTTAGAAGATGTGTTGGCAGTGGCGGTTAAAGATTTTCCCCTGAAAAACACAGACAAGTCAAGAACTTATTTAATGAAATACATTTATCAATTTTATAAACACTTTAACAGATAAACTAAAATGTTTAAAATTTTGGTATTCATTCGATATTGCAAGCAGAAAACACAAATGATGTTAACAGATTAACTAAAATGTTTAAGATTTTGGTATTCATTAGATATTACAAGTAGAAAATGCAAATGATTATGACTATTTTAGAAAGATCATGTACTGTTGCTGAAGTAAACTGAATGTTCTTATCTTGAACTAGAAGCTTAAATGTCTTTAACAGTTACATAAAAAAAGTAATGAATCCTCTTTAGACCTAGCAATCCATTGAGCAGATGACATATAGTTAATATTTTTTTGACCTCTGCATAAAAAAGGAAGGTGTGGTTAGCACTATGTCCAGCCATCTTTACTTTCCCTAACATGAGTTAGGTACCCATCAGAAATAGGTGGACACTGGGATGTCTACTGACTTGGACCTGGATTTGAACTCAAACCCTTCAGGTTATCAACCTAGCATTCTACCACTAGTCCACAGTCTTAACAGTTACATAGTTGTAATAAAACAAATGTCCGTTACATTATCAATTAATTTCAGGACATGGTTATATGTGTATATGTCTAAAATACCCCAGTATGATGTTTAAATTGAACAAATTTTATTTAGTAAGATAAAAGTAAGTAAAAGTAAAGTTCCCTTTTCAAACCTGATGGTCTAGAGGGCAAGTGAAGTAGAGTTCACTTGTTTCTGTGACCTCAGCATATGAAGAGATAGTGTGGTCAGCACTATGCCTTAAGATAAAAGTGACCCAACTAAATCTTGCAGTGTAAATCCTATTTACCTGTATCTGAGAGTTATGCCATTGCTGCCTGTTGACATAAGGTACATATTGTCCTTCAGCCTGTCAGGACGTACCCACATAGAGTACAAGACACCATGGTAACACAGGTCCAGGTTACCAAAGCAATCAGATTTGTGGTCGTTGAAGTCAATGTAGTCGTTGGCGCCATCCAGTTTAATGGCGCGACCCACTTTCCCGTCAATGTGTTCTGGTGACCCCACTAGGCTGACCAGAATGGAGTCGTGGAGAACTCTGTTGCCTGACACCCTCTCAAAGTCAAAGTGGTACCCAGTGGGCCGACCTGCAACAGACAAGAATGTTTATTTTGCTAGGTAGTTACAATCTTAAATTAAAATCTTAAAGCTTCTATACATATATTTTTAGCGCAATTTCCATTCTGGAGAATTGTGTTTATTAACCCGCCATTTCTGGATGTATGAATGTATGAATGAATGGATGGATGGATGGATGGATGGATGTGTGTCCGCAGCTTTAAGTCGTATCTCCTCCTCAACGAAGCAATATCGATGACTAGTCCCAAAAGCAATTATGTTAAGCAAGTTACGAGGATGAACATAGGCCATAAAAATTCCGGGTTTCTTTCATGGATTTCCCGGAAAAGCCAAACAACCTCGAAAAAAATCAGTTTTTGGCCCATATCTCGGCAACCAGACCACTTAGCGACTTGAAACATGTACCAATCGATTCCTGCCATAATTTAGAACAATATTGCCGAAGAAAGTTTTCAAAAATATCCTTTCGTTTGGTCACAAAAATTTTTTTGAATTAATTAAAATTTGGACCGAATTAGTAGGCATATTTATCCAACCACACCACACGCGTCATCACGTTCAATAGCTGCGCCATCACGTTCAATGGCTGCGTCATCACGTTCAGTAGGCGCGCAATGGTTTTTAGTCATGTAACTCTATTGTAAATAAATCATGTAAAATACTGAAAAAAAAATTAATAAAAAACGTTTTAATAACTAACCAATGGTTTTACTAACCCTGCTCTTGATTTACGCTACGACAGAGCTATTTTTAGATAACATAAGGAAATTGCGCTTAAATGTCACTAGACTTTTTAATTAACTTGTTTTCTCAATGTATTTGCAAAATGATGAACAGATCATAAGCCTATTGTAAAAAAAGATGATTGAAATCAAACCAACCTATTTTATATAAAGTAACCAAGCAATAAATTGAATTTCCATATTTCAATTATAAAAGAATTATTAAAAAAACACCTATAACTGATTAAATTTAATTAATATTTTTCTATATTATACTTGGTGAAAGTGTAGCAAAAATACTTCTCCAAGTTTAATGGACTTCCTTAATTTCATTTGCTGATATAATTTAAAAAATTAACCACAATAAACTATAGCAAGTACTACCATATTGTTTTATTGATATGTTCAAATAATTGTATTTATAGGTTCAAATAATTTTATTGAAAGGTTCAAAAACTATTCAGACACCCTATTTGTTACCATTCTGATTGCTGAGCTTAAAATCAGATATTTCAATAAGACAGTACTTTGGAGAATCATAGTTAAACAATGTGTGAATGGTACATTACACAGAAATCCTAATTACAATGAATATTCCCACTAAGGTTAGATTGTGTGAACTTTTCTATAGTTGTAACAGTCAAGAGAGTCTAACACTAGTAATTAAAAAAAAAAAAAAAAAAAACTTTAATCCTGCAAGAGAATCGTTACGGGTCACTTGTAGGTTAGATAGAAATAGGTTAGAATAATCTAGAACTAGGGGAGAGTGCGTGTGTGAGTTGAGTTTACCTTAGAGTATTGTTAACCCCGGTGTGTATATGTATTGTTATCTCAAGGTCGAATGCGGTATAAAAGCTGGAGTGAATGATTGTCAGGGGTTAGTTGCTAGCGATTAGGATGAGGGCTACATTTGAATGTATATATTTGAGACGGAATAAAAGTAGTGAACGTAGTCACGAAGAGTTGTCGTTTAACTGAAACTAACCAGAATGTAACAAGAGTTAACAAAACAAATTACCAGACTTGAGGAACCCAATAGACTGCAACATGTCCCTGCTGCCATAGAAGATGTTAACATCATCCACCACAGCATTGTCTAGCTGCTCCTTGCGTGATGCCACATTGCCTCGTCCAATGAAAGCTTTCTTTTCTGTTGTTGACTTTAAATCCGGGGTTGACCTTTCCCTGATCTGTCTGTCCACGTCAAGGCCATTGACATACAAGTACAGGCCTGAAGTAGGTGACCAGCTGACCTCTACAAAATGCCAGACGCCAGTCGCGAGGCGGTTGTAGCGCACCTCCCAAGTGCTGCGTTCTTTCTGTACAAAGTGGATTGGGAAAAATTAGAGAAATGATAAAGAGATATAATAGAAGAAAAGATACGCTTCTGGACATGGTGATCATTTAAGTAGGTGAAGTTGATTCCCCCTGTTTCTGTGACCTTGACAGCAATATTCCCAGTCTCATTATTTTTCCTGATGTGAGTCAGGGACCCATTTGGTGGTAATAGGGACTTCATACTAATTAAAGCTCTGTTGAAGTTGAGACTTGCAGTTGTGCTCCACCATCCAACCACACTCTGTCCATTAAAAAAGGAAAATAATCCTTTTCAGACCTAACCATCCATCATATTTCTTGACCACAGCATTTGAAGGGAAGGTGTGGTTAGCACTTTGCCCAACTGCCTTTGCTTTCCCTAATATGAGTTAGGTACCCTTCAGAGCTGGGTGGACTCAGGGATGTTCTACTGATTTGGGTCCAGATTCGAACTCGAGACTTTTGGTTCAGCAGCTTAGCAATCTACCACTTAGGCCACACCGTCCCGAAAGGGGATTAAAAAAATAGTTATATTTCCTATGGAATACCATAGTTTTTTTCTACTTTAAGAGTTTTTAAAACAAAAATTTGGTAATATTTTGTCTCTCACCTGAGCAGCAGCTACAAGAGCAGTCCCAAACTGGTAGACATCTAGACCAAATGGTGAGCTAAAGATATAGTTCCTGTTGCTCTCAAGTCTATCAAACCTGCAACATGTCACAGAAAGTTATCAAACATCTAGACCAAATGGTGAGCTAAAGATATAGTTCCTGTTGCTTTTTAGTTTGTTTCTACACTATTAAACTTTCTAAAAATTATAAACACACATAAAGACATGGAATGAAAATATAATTACTGTAAATTAAATTCAGTGTGCAAGTTCAAGGACAATAATTCTTATTTTACTTTGTAAATTGCTATAAAGTCTTGATTAACCCCCTTTATTTAAAATACCTCTAAAATCTAAGAGTAATATGTTTTACTAAACACACTTTGCAACTTACAGCAATTTTTTTTTATCTAATCTTACATTGATAAAATAAAAATAATAAATTAAACATTTTTTTTTTTAAATTACTATAAAACAGTGTTTAGTTAGTAAAAATAATGTGTAAAATCTCTATCAGCTGAAAAAGATAAATAAATTAAAATAAATGTACTCTAAATGCTGTACAATAACTTAATAAAATTAACAAGAGGTAAAAAAACTAGGTTTTATACAAAATTACATATTTTTTTTAAATTTGTGAAAATAATAGGCTTTATTACTAATTACTTCATAAAGAAAGACATGTAGCATTGGTATTAGCATACATTTTTTAAAATTAGAAAATATGTGTATGAAGTAGGCTGAATTAACTGTATAAAGAAAGAAATGTAGAATTGATGTTAGCACTAAATTTTAAAAAATTAAAAGTATGTGAAAAAAACTAGGCGGAATTACTTAATAAAAAAGGACATGTAGAATCCATGTTTGCACTTCTCAAACTCCCCCAAGCACTTCATGGTGGCATCGCCAAGGTCAAGGAACTCTCCTCTGCTGCTGAAACTGGCAGCCTGCCTGATCTTGCCAGGCACAAGTTGAATGTTGCCATGGACACGGGCAGATCCACCAACCATCTCCATCTTGTTGTCCATGATTTTATCCATGGGGAGATAATAATGAAAGGCAGGACCTGCAACCAGTGAACAAAATTATACTCTGTTTAAAAAAATCAAAAACTAATTCTAATCTTTAAGAGGTTAACAAAAAAAGTGTAGAGCTTTATTGTCAATTATCAACAGTAATAAAAAGCTAATTTTTAAAATATTCAGGTTTAACTCTAAATCTGTATATACTATAATTATTTTAAAAAGACCCTATTATAAAATGCCCTTCATGTTATTAACTATAATTTGTCTTCTGGCGTTAATCTTTAAGTTTGATACTCCATTTGCTAACACACAAAAATTTCTAAACCTCATCAATACTTTCAACTCCTGGCTATACAGTGAATTGACAATTGTATGTTAAAAATGGAATGTTGCTACCATAGCCTAAATTCTTGTGTCTTCTGCACTATGTATTTCAAATTCTCAATTCTTATATTTTAAGGGTCTTGCACCCACTAAAACTGTACCAAAACTCCTAAAAAACATTCCATCATCAAGAAACTTTCCATGATGTTGGATTTACCTGTCTCCTTGACTTCAGCTTCTAATCCTACTGCACTAACCATTAGCACACAATAAACCATGTATTTAATTCAGAACAAAATGTCCCATTTCTACGTGTCACCCATGTAGGCCTACACAACCCATAACACAGAACACAAGTTGTATCTAGTATACAAAAAACTCCCAGCTCTTCCTTCTGTTTATGTCTTCATAGTCTTAACAGACCATTGGATGATTGTGTATTGGAAAATCCAAGCACAAAGCATGGGCCCTAAGTTGAGAAGAGCCAGATGTTGCCCATATACCAGGCCCCCTCTCTCCACACAGCTGAGGGACAGGATCTTGTAAGCCTACACCGATCTACATTCTACAACACAACTCACACCTTATAGGCTTTTAAAAAACTAAAAGTAGAATAAGTTCTACTTCTGGTTACCAGAAATCGACGAAAAGTTGAAACAGAACTACAAAATTTGATATAATATATATGAAATTTCATCAACCTAGCTGTAACGATACTCAAGTTATCATGTTCACAGACATACATGCATACCTACTATGTTTTTCAGACTCAGGGAGGAGTAAAACTTTGAGATTTGTGAATTAATAGTTAGTATATGAGAAAGTAAAAACAGTTCTAGCCCTACCTTCAATATACTTCTGTTGTATAGGCCTACACCTACACCAACCCTTAACACATCACACCTTGTATCAAATAGAAAAAAATATCCCGGCCCTACCTTCCTCCCTAACCTCAGCCTCTGTCTTGAAACTTGAGATAAAATGAAAATCGTCCACAGTAATGATCCCGTTATAGTTGGTGGGACCGCTGGCAGTGGCGCGGCCAATGATAAATTCTTTATGCTGGTAGTTGTTGTTGGCTGCTGGTACTTTACGTGAGGCCTTGGTGTGGGCCACCTGGTTCCCGTCAACATACAAAAATAATCCTGCAACATAATAAAACATAATTAATTAATTAATTAACTTTTTATTTTAAGGAAATATGTTTAGCTGCAGGAGTAATATACTAAGAAAGGTCTAGAATCATGTATAGAAAAAACTTATAGGGTGAATTCGACAAAGACGACGAGGTTTGCTTAATTTAAGTTTTATTGTCTGATTCACACCCAAAACCTGTTGCTTAACAATATATAGACTTAAATTTAATTTTCTAACCCTCTACCTGTTTACCACATATTATTGTTTTACTTAAATAAACTTACCTTAATTACATTTTTTATAAAAAATATTAAAATAACGGGAGAATTTTTATACCAGTGTCCGATAATGGAATCTTTTTAAAAAAAGGGGTGATAGGTTACTGATAGTTAACTAAATACACACATGGCTGGCTAATGTCAATGCTAACCCTGTCCCTAACCCTAACCCTGGTCCTACCATACGCCTAACCCTAATTTCTAACCATATAATGGAGGCGAGCGAGTTGACGAGATTCCGTCCCCAATGTTATTGACATGGAATAAAAACGTGCTTTTTAGATTTAGACCGTAAAAAAAAATAAAAAATAAAAACTTAAGCCTAAAATTAATTTAGAAATTTTATATTTTTAGAATAAATGTTATAAAAGTTGCAAATCCAGAGAACTTGAAAATAATTTGTTGAGTTTAAGGCTACATTTCTATTTATTTTCATCAAGCCTAAGTTATAACCGGATGTTTCACTTTCGTAAGACAAATATTGATTGGCTGTACAGTAACTTAGTGATCGATAACTATTTGTTTACAAAACTTTGCAGATCAAGTTTTTAAATTACAATGCAAATTTAAAACCCCATGACCTAGTTTTCTATTTTTAGCTTACAATGTGTACAATAAAATCAATGGCGGCCTATCCAATAGCAGGATGCCATTGTTTATGTCGCCATTACACGTGAAAACCAAATTGTTTTTGCTTTTTTTAAAATTTTTATTTAGTTACCGAAAATATTATAAACATCAAATACATCCAATCTTTAGTAAAGTCCGAAAAAAACCAGATAGACAGGATTTTATAACCATATTAATTGTAACTACGCTGTGCATGATTTTTAAATGAATTTATACACCTCTCAAATACCTTTGAGACTTTTCTCGCTGGTGTCCATTAGTTGAGATTACAATACTACTAACAACCCAACACACCTATTTTATGGAAGAGTCTATTATCAGACATCGGTATCTATAATCATCCAAAAAGACATACCATGTATGCCTACATATAGACGCTCTAGGCTTATGACATTATTAATTAACTACCTTTATCATTAGACCAGGAAGCAGCGACATGGTACCATCTATTGGGTAGAACACTGTTGTCCTGGACTTGCCACTCTTTGCCATCTTTTGTTTTGAAAACAAATTCCAGTCCACTTTTTGAGTAGCTCATTGATATACCGTGACCTTCTGAACTATGGCCGCCATTGGACATGTAAACAACTTTCTCCTCGGGTTTGGACGCAAACTGGAGCCACATTCCAATATAGTAACCTAAAACAAAAATACAATTTTAATTCATTCATTAAAAAATAAACTAGGAAATAACAGAATCCATACTATCCCAAATCAACAACAACAATAATAGTGAATTACTGGTCAGCGGCTATTCATAGTTCATTATCTTTTAATTATGAATAGCTTTCTTCAGAGGCCTGTTCGTGGACTACTACAAATAGATACGCTCTTTTACTTTATGTAAAGGCCTACCAAAAACTTATAATGAATAATGATTACTGTAACAGCATAGTAAAGTAAATGTTTTTTTTTAAATGAAAAGATATTGTGTTACTTAATCTTATAAAACAAAGATCTAGTCCACTTCCTAATTTGTCTCATTATGACAGTGAAGAAAGATGTATTATTGAGAGATTATCTGGTTACCGCCTTTATACAATCATGGGTAAGAACTTAACTTAGGTACAATGGGTAAGAACTTAACCTTCAGGATATTTACCTTTAGAACAATGGGTAGAATTTACCTTTAGTACAATCTGTAAAAACTTACTTTTAGGTCACTTACCTTTAGAACAATGGGTAAGAACTTACCTTTAGAACAAATGGTAAGAACTTACCTTTAGTACAATGGGTAAGAACTTACCTTTAGTACAATGGGTAAGAACTTACCTTTAGGTCACTTACTTTTAGAACAATGGGTAAGAACTTACCTTTAGGTCACTTACCTTTAGAACAATGGGTAAGAACTTACCTTTAGGTCACTTACCTTTAGAACAATGGGTAAGAACTTACCTTTAGAACAAATGGTAAGAACTTACCTTTAGTACAATGGGTAAGAACTTACCTTTAGTACACTTACCTTTAGAACAATGGGTAACTTACCTTTTGGATACTTACCATTAGAATCATATGTAAGAATTTACCTTTGGTACAATGGGTAAGAACTTACCTTTAGTACACTTACCTTTACTACAATGGGTAAGAACTTACCTTTAGAACAATGGGTAAGAACTTACCTTTAGTACAATGGGTAAGACCTAAACTCTAGGACCACGTGTGAGACTCACCTTTAGGACACCGGGACAGGTCACCAAAACACTTTAGTATAATGGGAAAGAACTCACCTTTAGGACACCGCGACAGGTCACCAAAACACTTTAGTACAATGGGAAAGAACTCACCTTTAGGACACCGCGACAGGTCACCAAAACACTTTAGTACAATGGGAAAGAACTCACCTTTAGGACACCGGGACAGGTCACCAAAACACTCGCCCTTGTGGCTGGGCCCACTGACCCTGACCCACTGGCTGCGGCCGTTGATCTGGAGGGCGCTGTTGACCACCCCGGGGACCAGCTCGGGGAGGCCGTACACCCGGGAGTCCAGGCCCGAGGGGTTGACGATCTCATCGTTGACCAGACTGTCCATGGGCAGCTGGTAGCTGGCCAGTAAGTCTGGAGAGATACAGAGAGAATGTTGCATTTAAGTTACAGTCAATGCAGGTTATATACATTACGTTGTCGTCATGGGGTGGATAACTGACTTTCGCGTTTATTTCATGTAAACTATACTATACAGCTTTTAACAAAAAAAAAAAATTCAATGTTAATAGTTAATGAAGTGGAAAGGCGTGAACGTATGGAACAGAAAGTTTCGAGTTCGGCTTCCGGGTTAGAATCTGCAGGACGTCCCTGAGTCCACCCAGCTCTAATGAGTACCTGACTCCTATTAGAGAAACTAAAACACCATAGTGTTGACCACATTATCTCTCTGTATGCTGAGTTACTGAAATAGTTGAATCTACTTCATATGCCCCACGTAAATTTAACCGAACGGGAAAAGTTGATGATGATGATGATAAGATGATGATGGTAGAGTAAGAAAACACAATGTGACGTTTGTTTGGATGTCCCTTTGAACTAAACAAGCCAGTTTGAAAACACCAATGCGACCATAATTCATTAGCGAGCTCCCTCTGCTAACCTCATCCGTGTTCATGTGTGCATATTTGTAGCAATTTATTCAAGCAAATTAAGTGTTTTGAGTTCGGATCCCGGGCTCGAGTCTGTGTTGGGTACCTGACTCACATAAGGCAAACACAGCCGGTGCGCATGGTGCTGAATCGCGTTAGGGAAAGAAAAGACGGCTGAGAATACTGCAGACTAGACTATCCCTTCACATGCAGAGTTCACTAAATCAGATTAACTCTACGAGTGTGACGTCATTTATGGACGACCCCTAGCAAGAAAACCACAAGGAAAAGAAGGAAACCCCAATATACCTGGCGAAGAGAATTGAAAAAGTAACTGACAGGTGGATGTTGTAAATAGTCTATTCTCCACCAGAAGTTAAAAAAAATAAAGAAGAAGAATTATTCAAACAAATACAATTAATCATTGTGAAAACGTAACTATAGCCGACTATATTGTTACCCGTTATAAACTGATTTATGACTGGACTAGCCGAGATCTGGGTTAAGTCTACGGGCCGGTGGAGCGTGGTGTTGACCTACTCAACAGTGTCAACGTTAGGAAGGCCTCTCTCCACGGGGCAGGCAATCAACGTTAATCCCCTGGCGGTGCAGACACGGGGGTCGCCGTGATCCGTCATTTGTAGCGTAGGTCTGAGTGGTGATGTGCAGAGGGGGGGGGGGGGGGGGTTGATGTGTGGGGGAGCGGTGATGTAATTGTATTCAAAGGGAAAGAGTCGCGAAAGGATGTTGATGTGGAGGTTAGTTGTAGCCGTTAGTTCGAGAGGTTTTAAGGAGAGTTGGTGGGCTTCTTTAAGGGAGAAAAGTTAAGTTTACAGAATAGTCTCAGGAGCGACAAAAACATTGAAGTTTAAGGCTGGGTTCAGACAGTTTCTTCCAGGCATCTCTTTGGGGGAGGGGGGGGGGTGTCGGAAGTCTACAGCCTCCCCCCCCCAACGAAATAAATGGGATTTATTTAGAAAATATATACCTACTTTTATCAGTGTCCCCTCCCCCCTTGAAAATTTAGGCCGCCTTCTACCCCCCACCCACCCCCGGAGAAAAAAGTCTGGAAGAAACACTGGCTGGGTTGATAATCGGCATTTGGTAACGTTACGATAGAGAAAAGGCTAAAGCTATCTTTACAGTTTAGTATCAGGGACTGCGCTATAACAATATTGAGGTTCAAGGATAGGTTGATAATCGGCATTTGGTGTCGTTACTATGCCTATTCTAAATATGGAAATGTAGATGCAAAGTAATTTTTTTTTCTAAAGACAAGACGGATCAGAAGACAGATGAAACAGGGTCTACGTTTTAGTCACCTATACGTAAACGTGGTTGTGTAAACATCAATACTCTTTCAACATTAGCTTTCCATCTTGAGATGGTACTCACTTAAGCTGAATAAACTTAATGATTTAACTACTTCTATACGCATCAGATTGCGTTAAGGCCTTGCATCAGTAACCATTACGGTCATGCATTCGCTACATTTTCCGGTATGCCGTATATTGTTTCCTCTATCTTAGCTCTAACACAAGTCACCGGATGTAAGCTTGTACCACGTCTTGAAACTCGACTATCTCCCGCTCAGTGTAAAAATTACCGGACTAGATTTATTAGAGCAAGACTTTTTAATTTGTTATGATAGAATGGCGGCAATAAACGCCGACAAAATGGCGCAGTGTGTCCTACGTTACGTACACTGGAACATTTGTTCCTTCTATAGAACTTTTTCTAATCTGAGAAAATACAGTAGAACAGGTTTTTTTTTTATTTTCCTTCAGGCAATCTTAGAACTGAGCCTGCATATCTGGAGACCACAGTCCAGTTTATCAACGAAGTTAGACTTGTTTAAATCCTCCGACATAAATACAATTAAGAACTCAGAAGAAGAAAGATGGTTGTAAATATTGAAAGTATTTCATCCAGCACATTTCAGCATTACGTGTCAACATGTTATGCGCCATATAGGCCGTTGACTCCGATTTCAACCTGCTTTTTTTTGTCCTGGATTTCCTTTCATAGACTTTTTTTCACCCAAGAATAAATTAGAAGGCAGCAGTTGTTTGACATTGGAGTTGTCTCTCCTAGATGGGTTACTTGCCCCAGCTATCAAGCCTCATCTGTCTGGGCTTGGCAATAATAAAGGGCTAATCATTAAAAGGGCTAATCATTAAAAGGGCGAATTATTAAAAGGGCTAATCATTAAAAGGGCTAATCATTAAAAGGGCTAATCATTAAAAGGGCTGATCATTAAAAGGTCTAATCATTAAAAGGGCTAATCATTAAAAGGGCTAATCATTAAAAGGACTAATCATTAAAAGAGCTAATCATTAAAAGGGCTAATCATTAAAAGGGCTAATCATTAAAAGGGCTAATCATCAAACGGGCTGATCATTAAAAGGGCTAATCATTAAAAGGGCTAATCATTAACAGAGGCTATCGGTAGCCAGTACTAGAGACTGCCCATCAATTAAGACTGGCAGTGAATACAAATTGCCCATAAAGACTAAACATTAATAAAGACAAAAAAATTAATAAAGTATGCGCACTTAATTAGGCTTGGTCATCTAATTTGAGACTGGATACCCAATAACGACCGACATGCAATAAATTAACTAACTAACCCACCTCTACTAGACCCACCATCCAGGTCATAATGCCCTGATTGTGCTTGACAACGCCGGCCTTATTCTTAGGTCAAACTGCTCGCCTACTTAGCCCACACAATTAAAACAAACACTTCATCCGTGTTAATTATAGCCCTCAAGTGTCTGAGTATTATAAGTTTATACAAGCCTGCTTGACAGCAAAGCACATCTTCACACCCCCACCTCACCCACACTTATTTTATTATGCAATTTTCGTGCAAATTATTTTTCACACCACCATCCCAAATGCTAGCTACGATCCTAATTTTTAAACTGCTACACTCTACAATACAAAGCAACATTTAGATATCGAGAACGTTCCCAATGTTTTATTTTTAATGTATAGATCTAAATGTTGTCTACCTTTACACTTGCCAACTTATATCGATGACAACTGTAATATTAATACACTCCCAAAACTGCACCTCTACTTTCTCCCTCCAATAAGAACTAATTTTAACCCTAGTTAGTAATGAAGTATCGCAATCTTTCAGATTTTTTTCCCGAGGAGAGGGGGGGGGGGGGGGGTGTAGGGAGGGGGGGGAAGAGGACACTTGGAAATTTTCGTGGGCGGACAAAATTTTCCTGGGGTGGGGTGGGGGCGGACACTCGTGAACGTATATATTTTCTAATACAATATATTTCGTTCTGTATGTGTGTGTGTGGGGGGGGGGGGGGCGGTAAAAGTTCTTCGCCCCCCCCCCCCTCCAACTCGAACGAAACTTTGATCACCATAGACCAGGGGTCGGCAACCTTTTGAAGCGGAAGAGCCAAAAGTTACAATTTTCAAAATTTCCCTGGTTTTAAAGAGCCACTAACATTTTTTTTATTTCAAGTATTTTATTTTTTTATTAAGATTATTAGTATTTGTGCAAGGAGCTGGAGAGCCGCATCTTGACATCAAAAGAGCCGCATGCGGCTCGCGAGCCGCAGGTTGCCGACCCCTGCCATAGATTATATTATACTTCATCTGTTTTAAGAAAATGAGGTTACATTTAGCCAGCCTTTACCTTAGCCCTGAACCAAACCATAATATTTTTACTAATTACAATTAAAAACTAGAATTAGTAGTAGAAAAGTAGAATGTATGAAGCAGATGTATAAATAACAACAAACAAAACACAGGAGTGGTTGCAAGTTTCTCAGTCAGCTAAAAATGTTGCTCGACCAGTTACACGAAACAAAACAAAACTAAAAAACTTGGATCGGAATTGAATTCTTCACCAACAACAGCGTGTCACAACATAGTTGACCTACAATCAGTGTCAGCACACGTCATGTACGAACTGCGTCGTATGCGTAATACTCTCGCCGCGCATGGCTGAACTGAGAGGGGAGAAAACCCACGCTGTTCATTCATATTTTTTTTTTTTTAAAAACGGAGGCGGGCTAAATAATTGATCATTCGTTCATTCTTTATTCAATGGTCGCTAACCCAGACGAGGGAAGCAGAGATAAAAATCTAAGGCTAAAAATACATCAATCGTTGAGTACGGTATAGAAACGAGCAGTCTTATTTAGGTAAAGTCTGCACGAGTTCTGTTAGGTGACACGTCAGTTTCATGACGAGGACAAAGGCGGGAATAACCCAATCAATATTCATCATTGATTACTTCTGCTGCTCCATCCAACACTGTAACAGGCACTTCATCTTTCATCAACCTTGTTGTATTTTATGTTAACTGGATTGACGCGAAAAAAATAATAGTAGAGGGATTTATTTATTTATTTTTAGGTTAAAAAAAAAAGGGGGGGGGGGGGGTCTCGTGTACGAAGTATAGTGGAAGAATTGTAATCGTGCAAAAAATCGAAATCAATGTTTTCACAA